GTATAGCCGTATATCGGTACCTCAGCTATATTATATACAGTACACACTTTTCCAAGGTATTGCAGTATACGCGCTTCTTGTTAAAAGTTGTAGACAAGATTGTAGAGAGGACCAATTACAGTTTCCTGAGCCTTCTTCCGGGCGACAGCCCCAGACCCTACGATACCGGTATACGATAGTCGCCCTGCGGCGACGAAATATATCGCCAGCGGCTCTCCGAAGCTATAGTAGCTATACGGATACGTCGCCGAGTACCTGGAGGAGAACCGCAAGGCGCTAATCTTTACCGGTTAGCCTAGGACCTAACAGGTTACGGAGCTTATACTACTAGTCGCTGGCGTCAAGTTCTACTCTATCCGCGTATCCACGTATACTAAGGATAGAGAGGAGGTACAGCGGCGATTCTGGGACCCTAATAACGGGGCCAAAATCTTCGTTACAAACTATAAAGTATCCTCTACCTCGATAAATCTACAGCGCGCGTATAGCCACGTTATCCTAGCGGAGCTAGCGGAGGCAAAGAGCGTAGAGGTATAGTCATTCGACCGCGTATAGCGTATCTGTTAGCATATGTATAGTCCCTAGCCAGTAGTAGCGCACTAAAGTGCGATACTATACCAGCCTTTTGGCCAAGTTGGCTAGTTGCAGGCTAGGGCATGCTAGTTCTAACAGTATAACCGCCGATATATATTACTGTTACAGGAGTAGAAGACACATAATCGGGTTTAAACCCTATATTAATCTAACCCCGATCCAATCTATAGCAATAAGAATTATTCTACCTTTTCTCTAAGGCTTGCCTATTATACAAATATAATTATAATATAATCCTACGCCGATCGCCTTACGACCCCTACTTGATCGTAAACCGCTCGGCCTACGACCTAAAGTCAACCATTCAAGAGATTAACCTCTCCACCATTTCGTTCCCCTGCCAGAAGGCAGAGTATGACAATATATGATACGCCGAGTCCTACAGGGCCCTCGAGCCGATATAGCTATCTAATATTCTCCTATAGGACTCGCCGCGCCCTATAGGATCCACCGCGCTCTATTCTATAGGATACTACCAGGGCCTCCGGTAACTGTATAAAGGGGTTACACGTCTATGGTGACTTACACGACTGGTGCTGCTTGCCTAGTTCTGTAAGGGCCATCGGGGACGTCTCGGAAGCTCGTGCTAGCTGGCCGCTATTGTCCATGGTCAAGGTCTAGACCATGCAGAGAAGGTGAATATACGGCAAACAATATTTCAACAGAAATTAGTGAATATGGCCGCATGTTCCTCCAATGGCATTCAAACAATACGCCTGTAGGATTATGAAATAGCGGTTGTGATGTATGTGCAAGGCTTGCACATTGCTGTCCCCTAACCGTAACAGCGAAGTCTGAAAGATGTATGGAACTATGGGAGAAGCATGGTGTCGTGCTTTAACCGATTCAATCCACCAAGGAACTCTTGATATTTTAGACGGAGCCAATTCGTTGAAAATCAGGTAGTCAGGGATAGAAGTTCGGGATACCAATTTCAGCCTTTGCCTCGCGGTTTTCAGCAGACAGAGCAAACCAACAGCTTCACAATCTTTAGCGGCAGCCTGTCCGCCCTACAGAGACTCCAAAACCCCAGAGCCAAGGCCGGCCAAGAGATTGTCAATCAGGTCATCCGGACCGCCGACAGAGCGCGCACCCAACACACCCTGGAGCTTCACCTCCACTGGGTCCCGGGACACCACGGCATTCACGGAAACGAAGCAGCAGACCGACTGGCCAAGGAAGCGACCAAGCTCCCTGCCCCGCAGAACATCCGGATGCTCGCCTCTCTCCAGAAATCGTACCACAGAAGACGAGCACACTCGCTCTGGAAAACCCTGTGGGCAGCGGCCCCTCAAGGCGAACATCTACGACGGATCGACTCGGCAGTGCCTGGAAACCACGTCCGCGGGCTATACGACTCCCTTCCTCGACACTGAGCCCAGATCCTGGCCCAACTCAGGACCGGACATTCATGGCTCAACACATCTCGGGCGAGGTTTGGCCATAGTGACAGCGAGCAGTGCAAATGCGGTGCCAGAGAAACGACGGTGCACGTCCTGGTGGACTGCCCCCTCCTCAGGGAACCCAGACAGAGGCTACGACAGCAAATAGGATCGCGATTCAACTCAATCTCGTTGATGCTAGGAGGGAAACCCCGCCAACAGACCAACCGGCAAGGCGCCCAGAAATGGAAAATCCCTAAGAAAGACCTCGATGCAGTCCTGGATTTCGCAATAGAGTCACAACGCTTCATCGGAAGAGCATCAGACAGGGACCAGACACAGAGCTCTCCTACACCTAGAACGGACGAAAACCCAAACACACAATCAAACCACAGACCACGATAGACCACCCTTTTGCATGTACTAGTACTTTTCATAGACCCATGTAGAGATAGCCGAGTAGTTGTAGCCTGCATATCCCGTAGCAGGGAGAGGTCAGGGTAAATGAAACAAACCAAACCAAACCAACCAAGCCTCGCGGTTTTCAGTGCCACAAAGTTCCGCCACTTACTTCTTAGATTCGATAGTGGCTACGACCTGTGGAAGATATAGTATTTCATCATTCGTTTCTATTTATCAACGACGAAAGTCTGGCCATAGACTTAGTGTACCCGTTGATGGAAGTGCTAAAGCCACATATATATGAGTGTGTCTATAGTCTGTCTCAGCTCTCAACCATAATCCCATCACCACGTTTATCTACTCAAATCGTGTTTCTCACACAGCCCAACGGATATGCCGATTCACTAGAGCTCAGGTTAGAACCGAACACAGCTTCCTCGGAATCGAGGTCTTTCCGGCGCGTCCGTCGTCTCCAGCCCCGCCAAGCAAAGAATGTGACGGCTGTTAAAGGAACCGTGATAATAAAGTACAGCCACAGCCAACCCGAAGTGTGGAAACCAGGAGAACCGTCGGACGATGTGAAGAAGACCATGCTGAAAATACCCTGCGCCAATTGTATTAGCCTTGCTACTCAAAGCGGTAGCACTTGCCATAACGGCGGAAGCATACCGCAACAAAAGTACCCGGCAAGAACGCGACAGCGAGCACATTCAGCGCGACCATAGCCCTACTATCTTTATGCGCCTCCTTCGCAATGTCCCTCGTCAGGGACGCAATTCCAATATTGATCCTCGAGTTCTCCTCGTTGATGTTGGAATTCCTCTGGGCAGAGAAATGCCAAACAATGTTCTCCCTCGTGTTGGCCCTCCCAAGATAGTCCTGCGCCCACGCCCGACACGTCTTTGCACTACTGATGAGGTACGCGATCATCTCGTCCGTTCGTGCATGCTGTAGTCGTATCCAGCTTGCCCTCGATTGGCCAGGTTGAGCTTTGATGCAGCTGTGGACGTGGGCGTACGCTCGGACGAGGAAGTCGCCACGCTCGATAAAGTCGCCCAAGTGGGCGCATAGGCGGTGCAGGTCTGAGCAGAGGTTATGGAGGCGGATTTTGGCCGCCCGCATGTCTCCGTGCACTTCGGGATCTTCATACTCCTATTTCGAATCGCGGGCATATTAGCAAAAGGCCTCCAGCAAGATATCAACTGAGAGCAGTCTCACGTAGTCCAGGAGCTCCGCTCGGTACCGATTGATGAGCTGCTTCCACTGTCGGAAGCAGTCGTCCAGAAGAAGCGTGTCCAGCCCGAGAAGAGAGTGTAGAACTGTCTGCGACTCTACCGCCCCAGTCTTGATGCGCGAAAGGGAACTTTCGGGGCATCCGATCACCAGATATGTCACTTGTTTGCTAGAAAAGTCGACGACGGACGTGATCTGGAAACGTTCGTTCCAACCGCATTCGTCCCGGTGAAATATCGCTAGCGCAAATGATAAGCTATTATGCCAGTTGCTCCATAAAGCACTAGGAAAGGGCAGTGGTACATATTCGGGTTGGATGGTCTTGGTCGCCGAACTCGGTGAAGCAAGCATTTCCCTCCCATACCTGAGCATTGAACATGCCCTCGAAAAAGCTCTCCGGAAAGCCAAACGCTCGGGATAAGAAAAGCAACGCATGAACTGTGAGATGCAAGCGGCAAGATGCTGACTCCACGTATGGAATAAATCTGCGTTAAATGGTAAGCTTGGGGAGATCATGGCGCATCAGGCAGCTCAGAAGCCAGATAAGTTTGAGCTCTCGCAAAGCCAGACAGTATCTTGTTAACCTAGGCTTTTGTCTAACTGCCAAACCTTAGCTAGCATGAAGGAAGCCTTACATCGCTCTTACGAGCACGCCGCCCTCTTCGTCGTGCTGCTCTTCCAGCCTTAGAGCTTGCCGCAACGAAGTATCATCGAGGCCTTCTCTCCAAACAGCTACACCACTCCGAAGCTCGTACAGATCTACTTTTGACGTCGCAGAAAAGCGACCGGCGTGTTGCTGAACCACGGCATCTATGTTTGACCGTACGAGTTCAGGCTGTTGCGTTTGGGTCATTTTTAAGGATTGTGATACGACGGGAAATCAAATACGATAGGCCAGGGCTTGAAAAAAAACCAGCCTAGCACATCTCCATAGAGCCTTTCGAAATATGATGCGCGAAAAAAACAATGCGCGGCAATCAAGCTTAAATACTGTTTGTCCACGGGCTTTCTGTCTAAGGTGACACAAATCCAGGCAGCAAGACAAAAAAGATCGTTAAAATACCAACCGACGCCCTTTCTAGCCAGGCGGAGTTCGTTGCTACGGGGCGTACTCAAGGAGCAAGTGTGCCTCGAGCGGGGATCTGCAAGGCTGAGACTACTAGTCGGAGACGGGCTAACGAGGCTATGCAGGTGAAGTGGGAGGAGAGCGATGTATAAGGAGTTAGCAGACGCTTGTGGCTTATTGTCCTGTCGAGCATGGTAGGTCGCACGGCTAGGTAGATAGAATATACGCGATACTATAAATGAGATATCCATTTGCAACTGTGATGATACTTGGCAAGATATTGTGAAGGCGTACAAAAGGTAAAAGTGAGCAAAAGAATGATTCGCCCGACGTGAGGCTCGAACTCACAACCTTAAGATCTCTTCACACGGCAAGGTGCTAAAAGTCTTACGCTCTTACCAATTGCGCTAGCCGGGCAAATTCGTTATAAATTTAGCTCCTTCAAAATATAACCCCATCGTATGTGAAGCAGGCCCATTTTCCCAGTATTACCCTTTCAAGATATCTCACGTGTCAGTTGTCGCGAGCATGTAGTTGGGCGAAGCCCACAGCGCTGAAGGCGCGTATCCAGCCGTCGCGATCGCGATGCAGAAAAGTCCCTTGTAGATTGCGAAAGTGCGAAACCGCATACAAAAGCCACCAGCCTCCCCAGCAAAGTCGGGTCCGATCGATTCGGCAAATATTGAAGCAGTGCATGAAATCCGACATTTAAAAGGAAGCATGGAAGGAACTAATGGGCGTATGTAGAAGCTCTGATCTACCAGGTTATCGCGTATTCCCCGTGCCTTGCCGGATTACTGTCGGTTCGGGGGTGCGAAACATCCACGGCTTCACTTTCCGAATGCAACTGTCCCTTGACCGCATGTTCGCGATGCCCCAATGCACCGTCTATTAGATATATTCAGACCAGACAGCTGGCCCAATATAAACTTTGCTATACCCAAAAAGTTGTAAATTCGTGAATGCATCTCGTATCTCAAGATCTGTCGTCAGTCCCGCTTCACTAAAGCAACAGCAAGTCCGCAACGACCATTTACCAAACAAAGGAATATAGCGTTTCTAACTATAACCGACATCATTGCATACCAACATCTTTGTACACATGTTGCTACGCCCGGCCATTGTTCGAGTGTCAAGACAGGTGCCAGCAGACAACACAACAACATGCACTACACCACCAGTCGAATAAACTAGGAGAAGAAGATACGAGTCGGAGACTAGAAAGGCATAGATAAACAAGGACAGAGAGAACCCCCACGCTAAAACGCATTCTCGAGAAACATCTAATAGAAACATAAACGAACCAAAAATGGGGGAGGTCACCCCGACAGACTCCGTCTACTCCACCACCAATCTGGAAAGGCCGCAGTAAAAGCCAGGATAAGAACCGGCAAACCCATCAGCCTCGCCGACAGGAGACTATGTGAAGGACACCCTTCCGGCCGACTTAAAAACAGAGCACCACGAACCACCAACCCTTCCATCATCCACATCCCAAGCTCTCCTCCCGCACCCTAGCCAAATACAAAAACGACCACCACGACCAGCAACTCACCCCAACCCCTCCGACTCAAACCCTCCACGCAGGATGCACCCCGCTGCCCGGCCTACTCGGGAAAATAACCGTCGACCTCGGCGCGGCCTCGACGACGTAATCGACGCCGTCGTCGCTCGCGTACGACGGCGGGCGCGGGCCCAACTCGGGCCTCGGCCTGGAACTCGCCGCGTCGGGGGCAGCGTCGCGCGGGCTCGCCGAGACGGCGGAGCCGGAGCTAGACTCGACGGCAGCGGCGGCGGCGGCGGCGCCGGGGGCGGACTCGGACGAGACGGACGGGTTGCGCTGCCAGTGGAGGAGGTTGGGGTCGACGCGCTGGGAGACGGGCCGGGTTAGCTCGGGGCAGGGCCTGCGCGCTGCGCGCCAGCCAAGCGCGAGATCGGAGTGCGTTTGACCCGGCGTTGCGGGCGTAAGGTGGGAAAGGAGGACGTATACATACCACGCTAGACCTCCAAAGGCCGTACGCGGGCGGCGGCGCCATGAGGCCCTTCTCGGCCGTCTCCGCTCCTTCCCGCGCGGCGCCCTCGTCGTCCTCACCGTTCGCGATCTCCTCGTCGCGCGCCAGATGGACCCTGATGGGCCTGATCGGATGGAACCCTTCTGGCCCCGTCATGCTCGGGATGCGCGGCTGCTGGTTCTCCTCGTCGGCAAGCGCCGACTGCGGCCGGATCGCCAGCATGCATAGCCGGATCAGCGAGTGGCAGAAGATAATGGTGGTGCAGAGAATGACGAGGATGAAGAGGACGTGGAGCTCCTGGCCGAGAGTGCTGCGGGTGAGGGCGATGGAGAGGTCTGTGCGTTTGTAGGCGGTTAGTTAAACTGGTTCGCCTGGTAGAAGGTAAACGGAAGACACGTGATGCGGCAATGCTGTTGGGTTGGGCTGGGGTCGAGGGCAGTCGAGTGTGGAGACCGTAATGGGACAAGGGTAGTGCTGCCGGACGAAGCTCCGATCATGCAGGTAAAGGGACCGTTCATGCGGCTAAATGCGCGCTGAAACCACCCTCCCCTTGGCGCTATTTGCGGACTGCTCTCCGCCACGAACCCGGAAATGGCCTGCAAACCCAACTGGCCCAAGCCCGACGTCACGACTGAGTACAAGCCGTACACGTGACCCCACATAAAGAGAAATGGTAGAAAGCACGAAACAAAATGGGGGCAGAAGGAGAATAAACGGAGGAGAAAGAAAATAGGACTCACAAATGGTCAAAACCGCCGCCAAAAACAGGCCCGAAATCAAACAACACACGCACTTGGACCTAGCGGCCCTGCTCCGCACAAACGGGAAGCAAACGCCACCCCTCTCGCCATTCTTCTTCTTCCGCAGCCACGCGCCGCGCCTGTAGCCCCTATGACCAACCGAGTACGTGTCGCCCTGGTCCGCACCCACGAGCCCCTCGGCGCCCGCATCCGCCCCCTCATCATGCGCCCTCCTCCTCCTCCTTCTCCTCCGCCTCCGCCTCTCCGCCTCCCCGCTCCCATCTCTCTCCCTCCGCCCCACGGCAACCACCCCCGCCAACTCCTCCGTCTCCGGATCCACGCTCGCGTATCTCCCATGGCCGTGCCCATGCCCACGTCCATGTCCATGTCCATGCCCATGTCCACGACCCCTCCCCCCATCCCTCCTCCTCCCGCTCCCACTCCCACTCCCACTCCGCCCCTCCCCTCCCTCGCCCCGCCGCCGCCGGCCCCGCCGCCCCTCCCTCCGCCTGCGCTCCTGCTCGTCCAGCGCCTCGAACACAGCCCGCGCAGCGGCGTCGGCGTCGGCGTCGGCCGCGGCCGCGGCGTCCATGTCACGGACGGCCTGGCGGGCCTGCGCGTCGGCGGGGTGGACGGCGGGGGCGGGGGCGGGGCGCTGGTGGCCGTCGGCGGAAGCGCGGGCGAAGAGTGGAGGGACGGCGGCGGCGGCGGCGTCGCTGGCGCCGGCTGTGGGGGAGCGGACGGGGAGGATGGCGTCGTCGCTGGCGGCGTCGTCGTCGTCGTCGCCGCGGGCGCGGGCGCCGACGCTGCCGATGTCGCCGTCGGCGTGTCGGAGCGTGCGCCCGGATGGTCGGCCCAGGAAGGCGAGGTCCGGGAGCTTGGGTGTCGAGTTGCGGCTGTTGGGGGACGGGTCGAACATGGTGGGTTGCGAGTACATGGAGGGGGAAGGGGCGTTGGGGTCTGGGGAGCGGCTGAAGAGGAGGCCGCGGACCGAGGATTGGATGTCGGGCGAGCCGGTCGGGGGTGGGTTGGTGCCGTGGCGGTGGGCCGGGTGGTCTTGTTCGGGCGGCGCCCGCCATGGACGGGGGAAGTTGAAGGATGGGAGAGGCATTTTGCTAGATCGGAGGGTGACCTGGTAGAAAGGGATCGAAGAAGAATATAACGAAGGAGACAGCTAGATAGCTGCTTTGGATCGCCGATAAAAGGCTGTTGGTGGCGTCGTGGAGCAAAGGCGGAGGAGGTCGCCCGGTATGCGTGTGATGGGCGAAGAAGAAAGGGTGCGGCGTAGAAGCCAGAAACAGCCCGGCTTAATGCGCGGGGCACACCGCTCCAGGTAAAATGTCAATGACGCCCGCAGTCCCTACGCCGTGGGAACCAGATTCCCGCGCACACGTGGTTGTGCGGCGGAGGCGAGACACGCTTAAGTAGTACCGCTGTTGTTTGTTGTTGGTGCCTCCACGGGCGAGCTGTGCCACAGCGTGTGTGATCGACGGGAAACCGCGTCGAGGGCAAGCCACGAGGACTGGAGGGGAACGGAGGAAAGAGCGTAGGTAGGCGGGCCGGAATCAGGACCTAGAGCAACGGCCAGGACCAGCACCAGCGAATGAACCGGTGGTCCCTACGGCCATTCGACAAAGCTCGGGGGAAGAAGCCGGAGCCCGGTGCGATCCCCAAGGAGCCAGTGCCAGCCAATGGAGGTAAAGAGGGCAGGTTGGAGCTTGTGTTGTATTTTGTAGTAGGAGTGAGTGGACCACCGCCGGTTTGCGGCCCAGCCCGCGGCGGCGACGGAGGATCTCCACGAAAGCGAAAGAAAAGACGTGGGTTCTGGACGAACGGGAGCGACTGGAGCCTGTCCAACGAGAAAATCAAAGAGCAAAGAAAACCCAGAGACCTAATGTCAGAGACGAATGGCAACTAGCATCGTCGGGAGAAAAGAACCGAGATGGGGGCCTGATTGGTAGCGAGGGCAAGAAGGTGGGAAGAAAATAAAGTATGTACGAGGAGAAAACGGGTCTGGCCGAGAACCGAAAGGGAAAGTAGTGGAGGCTACGGGGGCCTACGACAGCGAGTGAGGGCGACGAGAAGCAAGCCGGCCGCAGGTACGGCTCCGTACCTGCATGTCCACAACGCGACGGCACAAGAAGCGGACAGCGACCTGGCGGCCAACGAAGCGCGCAGCGAGGACGGAGCTTCACACACGCACACGACAGGAACGGCCGGCCAACGGAGGTGGAGAACACCAATGAAAGAAGTGGAACAAACTGAAAGAAGGACTCCAGCAAAGCGACTTGAAAGAGAGACGGAGAGCGAGCGTGGCACGAAACCAGAACTGCCTACAACTTACCACCACCACCGCCGCCACCAAGGACCAGGCCGTGGTCTAGCGGGCAAGGCAAGGGGAGGGGGTGGGTGGTAGGAGGTACGTAGGAGGAGCGAGAGCCTCAGCAACAAAGCTCCAGGACCACTCGGCTCGGCAGCCTCGCCGCGCACCTCCAACGAGGCCGGGGGGCGCCCAACGCCCGTCGCACCATGCCTAACCTACTGTGGCCCCCAGCACGCACAACGCACCGCTCAAGCTAGCCCGGCCCGGACGCACGCAGTGTTCGAGCTTTCCCTTGCTGCCTCGCGTGCCGGCCGCTCGGCCGCTTGCCCCTGGCGCACATGA